CTAACATGTCTAATGGTCTGTACAGACCATTAGATATGTTAGTAAGATCTACAATTAGACATTTTAGTAAGATTTACAGACAATTAGACATGTTAGTAACATTTACAGACCATTAGACATGTTAGTAAGATTTACAGACCATTAGACATGTTAGTAACATTTACAGACCATTAGATATGTTAGTAACATTTACAGACCATTAGACATGTTAGTAAGATTTACAGACCATTAGATATGTTAGTAAGATCTACAGACCATTAGACATGTTAGTAACATTTACAGACCATTAGACATGTTAGTAACATTTACAGACCAGATCTTACTAACATGTCTAATGGTCTGTAAATGTTACTAACATGTCTAATGGTCTGTAAATTTTAAACCAAACAAACTGTTTATATTCCACCACTACGTGAGGTCCATATTTTTGTTTGTTTCGCTCTTCCTGACAGCATCGATGAACCGTGAATTCGGCGAAACTGGTCTGTTGCAGCAGGAGTAGTGAATCAAAGAATGAAATTAACCAATAAATATCTAATGTCCTCAGGTAGAAATACCATTATTTTCAATCTTTACCTCGTTCTACCATGATGGATTCAAAAAGCTAACTTACTGATTTAAATTTCTATAAATAAACACCACAGGTTAGCTAGTAACAGAATAGAATAAATCACATCAGATATTCTGTACATATACTTTCAGTTTCGGAAATACGTTTGTTAGTCTTTATTTTTACAGTTCACCGTCACGTTTTTATTCTTTCGACATAAACTGAGATCGTGGTTCTATCCGTAGACTCCTACGGTTTGTTTTCTTTGTTGCAGATCTTAATATTGTTAGTTTAATGAATGACCCTGTCTTTCAAGTCAGTTGATAATGTCAGTTATACAACCTATCACTGGTTTAGAAGACAAATGGCTTTTGAACGTCTAGACGTGGGAAGTTGAACATACCTCAATATGATTTGTTAACCTTTGACTTTCGTGGAAGGACGTTGTTTGTGTTATACACGATATAAACACTAACAAACTTATGTCTTGTAATTTATCGTTAATAACAAAACTTTCTATTTGCTATGCAACCTTACCCGCCTACGCCGTCTCAGAACAAACACGGTCCCAATGGTAACTAAGGTAACAACAGTTGCAAGACTAAAAGCAAAAAGGATGGCTTGAGTACTGCTAACGTTCTGGAACAGTTTTTGTTCGACACGTCCCTCCCACGTGCTGTTGGTGCTCTGTTGAAATGATGGCGATTTTCCTTCTTCTACGGACAGCGAACCCTCTAGAGATAGGACAAAATGTGGCTAAAATTACCATGGCTTTGTTTTTCATTTCAAATAAATACGTTTCAAGATTTCGTTTTTAGAACTACAAAACGGAATGAAAATACAGACTTTCGACTCAATTAACTGTAACGGAAATCACAAATTTAAGAAAAAAAACAATTATCTCTGGTTATTTATTAAATCGGAAAAATAAGACAACACTTTTAAGATATTTAAGTCTCAAGATATAAGATGTTTAAGAATATAATTTTGTAAAGAAAACAAAGTTATTCTATGAGTGAACGTTAAGGTAGCATAAGTATCTCAAACAAGACGATCTTTGGAAAACTTTTCCATTTATATATTGAAATAGGCCTCAACATGAGAGTGAGACAATTGTCGTAGACGGTCTTTGGAAAACTTTTCCATTTATATATTGAAATAGGCCTCAACATGAGAGGGAGACAATTGTCGTAGACGGTCTTTGGAAAACGTTTATATTTATATATTGAAATAGGCCTCAACATGAGAGGGAGACAATTGTCGTAGACGGTCTGGAAAACGTTTATATTTATATATTGAAATAGGCCTCAACATGAGAGTGAGACAATTGTCGTAGACGGTCTTTGGAAAACGTTTCTATTTATATATTGAAATAGGCCTCAACATGAGAGTGAGACAATTGTCGTAGACGGTCTTTGGAAAACGTTTCTATTTATATATATTAAAATAGGCCTCAACATGAGAGTGAGACAATTGTCGTAGACGGTCTTTGGAAAACGTTTCTATTTATATATTG